GAGAGAGTCGTTTCATTTCAAGTTGCCGCTGTTTTCATTGCTGCACTTGCAACTCGGCCGCAATGATCACGCTATTCAAAAGACATATAGCCTGCCGCGCGCGTGCTCGCCTCGCTTTTTTTCAACTTTGGAACTCTCTTTTTCCCTTTTCCCGTATATTATACACTCTTGGAGCAGCATTTCTTCCTCTGTCCTGCGCGCGCTCTCTGCACCATGCAGGATTTAATCTGCTTAAACGCCCTACTCTCTCCTTCTCTGTCTATATGACTCTCTTTTCTTTCTCTCTCTCTCTCTCTCTTTCTCGAGTACTTGGTTTGATAATAGGCTCGGTGGACGTTTAACGAGGAGCTATTGCGAACTCGATTGAAAATAAAAAAGCCAAACACGAGATTGTCTTTGAACTGCTTTGTGCTTTTCATAAAGACTCCTTGTGCTTCTCCTCTCAGCGAGTAATTTGCTGAGCAGTGCTCAGTCGATCTTTTGATGACCAATTGATTGTCTAAACAAAATCACTCTTACCTTTGACTGTACCGATTGCTTTCTTTTCTTTGACAAATCTGCACGATCCATAGCGTACGGAACAACTCGTAAGCAATGTACAGAGAGCCGAGAGCAGTACTTTTCTCTTTTCGTACCGCTAATACTCTCGCTGCTTCGTTGCTCGCTTCTTTACTACCGATAAATAATACCATTGGCTCTGGCAACTTTGATGGGATTCTTTGCCGTGCGCTGTGGAGCATACCGTGGGCGCGCCAGAGAGAGCGAGTTCGTAAATTAAGGGGCAATCGCGTCAAGACTGTCTGTACAAGGGATGACTTCCCTCGCTCTCTCTCTCTCTTTCTTACTCTCTTTCTTGACGCGCATGCAGGAATCAGAAAATGAGGAGATCGTCTGCAGACAGAAAAGAGCGATGGATAAAAAAAAGTCATAGAACCTCCGAGCATAGAAAAACCGAGGAAGAGAGACAGAGCCTAAAATAAGCGCGAAGTAAGCGAGAAGAGAAGGATTCAGCATTATAGTCGTCGAGCATGTCAGCGCCTCAAGGCGAACGCGCGGCCTGACATACATGTGCAGACACTATATACGCGAGCTTGACATACGTGTGACGTACTTGTGACTCTCGCTGCAGAGCTCAAATCAGTAAGGTTGGATACTTTACTATATACCTATATATACCATACATACGTGTATACGCCGAACGACGGTGACATCGACAGGTCTCCGGGGAGTCGGCTGTCTTTCTCTCGTTCTTTCGAGACTCCGCATCCCCGCGCATGAGTATTTTTTTTTTTTTTTTTGCTCAGCCCGTGCGAGATATGCCCTCTTGCGCTCGATCTTTGCCGAGAGATAAGAAACCCAAAGACAATAATCCGCCTAACGCGCTCTCTCATGGCCCCTGTAGCTTATTTTCTCGCTGCTGCTGCTGCTGATGCTTTTCTGTGACGATGAAATAAGCGACGACCTCCCTTTCTTCTTTGATCTTTTGCGAGTTCTATTGTTGACGAGCTTTGCACCTTTTCTGTGCTATCGAACCAGTCAGTATTATAGCCATTTAATTTATGCATCTGAAAAATTGGATTTTTCATTTGATTGATTCATTCAGAGATGTCAATTGTCAATGTCTGAGAATAAAGTCGAACTATATTTTTAATTTTTAACGACATTCCAATTAAAAAGAACACTTCTTTAAAAAAGTATACAAACAACGAAAACAGTCGAAAGGAGAAAGAGAAAAAAAGGAAAGGTTGGAAAAGAGAAAAAAGATAATATCGCTAGCGGACGAATCAGTTCTGGCAGCAAAATATTTTAATCTGACGGACGATATGTGCAAGCGAATGAGCAGAAAGCCGCGCAGCTCACTGGCAACAAAAGCCACGACGCTCGTCTTTTTTTCCTTTTCTTGTTGTTTTTTTTGCTTGCCGCGTGCAAATGCATCGAAAAAGCCAAAGAAAAAAGGAGACGAAAAAAAACAACGAATTATGCAGAATAATAAGAGCGAAACGTGGAACGAGCCGCTGTTACGTGTGGTAGACTATACGACGTCGAGCACTGTAACGTTGTTGGCTGCAGCTTGCGCGCGGTATAGTGTCTCTTATTCGAGTGGCGGCGCGGCAAGACTCTTGAGGCCCCTCATGGGCGCGAATTTCGCGCAGTCGTCTCAGCGTCTTCTATCTAATTTAACACTCGAACAAATTGCGATAAAGTGCAGCAGCACAGCAGCAACAACAACGAGGGCCACTCGGGTAGTAACATGTGTCATTCTCTCTTTCTCGCGCGCGCATATGGGCGCATTATCACGCTTCGTCCGAAAAAAGATCGTTTAAACGGAAGGCATTTGTTCGACGCGCTACCACTGGCCCCGAGACTCGAGCTGCTCGTCCGACGTTTATAATCTCGATCTCGAGGCATGAGACGCCGCGGCGACCAACTCTCGGGCTGCGAAAAAAAGCTCGGCTCGGACTAGCGCGTTTATAATGCCACTATATAGCCGAGACAAAGTCCTCTTTGTGCTCTGGTCACTCGTCACTCGGTCGCTTCCTATGCGTGCTCTCGAGTATTTATACTTATTATGTGCCCCCGCCATATATGTGTACGTGATTGTATTATATGCGCTGCGCGCTCAGTGTCTCAAAGATACGCACAATATATCGATTGCCGCGTGAGAAACGCAACGAGCGGCGATCTCGGCCTATGGCGAGTCTCGATTCGCTTTGTACGCATCTAGTGCGCATTATCGTCAAACGCTGCACTTGGACTTTTGAGCTCGGTAGATATAAGCAGCTACGAATGGACTTGTGTAGAAACGTAATAAAAAAAATTGTTTGACACTCCATTGATTATATACCGGTGCAAAGTTAGTTGCACCGCCAATAGAATCGATAAAAGGAGCACGCGATATACTTGGCTATTGGAGCGGTGAACTCGCTTGAAACGATTTACTTGGCAATTGCAGATGTTTTTTTCTCGCGGCTACTCGATATTCGGCAATCAATATGCACGATTATTCGGTAGCGCATCATATCGCGCTGTGATACACACATACACGGCTCTCGTCGAATCATAATGCAAATTGTCTAATATGAACGTCGGCAGTAGCAGTAGCAGTAGCAGCAGCGGCGTCAGGCACTCGCTGAATAGACAATGACTATCTATGATCTCGCTCACGGCACTCGAATCGACGCTGCAGCAGCTCTTCGGAGTTTATTAAATTGATATATTATGTGCTGAAAATAGTTTGCTATATTCCTTTCTTTTTCTCGCACTCGCGCGCTGCGGCGAGATCGCGTCTCATGGGTGCCTTTTCTCTGTTATAGCGCAGTCTATTCATTCGTTGAATACCCAGCACAGCACCGTATCGAGCCGTATCAGCATTTAGCGGCTGCCGAGAGCGAGTTGCCAGGCGCGCGCGGGGGCCCGATCTCATGAATTGATGCATAAGCTCTTCCATTCATCTGCGCCGGGGCTTTTATAATACTGTGTATACGTACGCCGAATACATATTATAGTCAGTAAACTTATATGCTTGCAAAGATCGCGAGAGAGTCAGAGGAAACGATTGTCTGCGCCATGTATATATAGTATAATTCGTTGCACTCGCTGCTGCTACACACATACACGTAATATCAGTAGCTTTAACGCGTGCAAAAACTTCTACACACTGCCGCGCGCGAGAGCAAAGTCAAGACTTTTGAGAAGCAGTTCCGTTATTATATATGCATACAAGGTCCGATTCAACGTACTTCGTGTAATCGATTTATGAGAGCTAGATCGCAGCAGCCGCGTGAGAGCAACGGACCACGGCGGAGGGACAATGAAGCTTTTGAACCCGGAGCGCCTGCCGCTCGTACGGCCAAAGCCAGAGCGAGAGAGATAGAGAGAGAGAGAGAGAGAGCAGCAAAGAGCTCGGAAACCGAGAGTCCCGCGATGTACGCGAGTGCAAGTAATAATTGCCCCGCTGCTAAGTTTAGGCGTCGATCTCTGCGCCTACCGCTGCTGCTGCTACCGCTGCTCGCTCTGTGTGCCTGTGCTTGCGGCTCGCTCGCACTTTGGCAGCACGCCTACCTTTCGTCGAGCTAAATTTAGTTCCTTGGCCTGTGATAGGTGGGCGTCGTCTCTTCCTCGTTCGAGCAGGATTCTATCGTCACGTGAATCATGCAATGCTCCATGTACCCTTCGCAGGCCCTCGGCAAAACTAAGTCAGAGTTCGAAGCATCGAGCGCCGTATATATCAGTATGACCATCAACTATACATTTGTTCATGCATAAATAATTCTTAAATTTTTAACTCGTCCAGTCGTCTTAATTCGCCCGTTGTTGTAACTTTGAAGAGTACCGCGGAAGAACCGCGCTCGATGCACAATTCTCTTGAAAACGTGCAGCATCGAGCTCGCATTATACGTAGCGAGCGAGAGGCGCCTCTAATTGGGGTCACGCGCCTTACGTACACGTAATACATTCATTTTGATTTCGATTTGCCTTATTGCAATTACTGCTGCTGCTGCCGCCGGTGCACGAATTAACTTTGGGGCTTTACGAGCCTACGGAAGAATTGCCCTGTCTCGTGCTCCAACCACTATGTATGTACGTACACGGCCGCGTGTAACAATGAATGGTCTTGTGTCGCTGACTACGAATTCATTTGTACTTTATATATAGTGCAGGGCGCGCGCGTACATATAGCGGTGACGAGCGACTAATGAAGTTTCACTTCGACGAGTACACGCGCTGCGCCAATTTATGAATAGCGCGTATTTCGAGTGGAGAGCCGCCACTCGCGCGCGCAACTCGAACAGTGAAACAAAGCTCTGTGTGCACCGAGTGTATAAGCCGAAAGTTGAGCGTCGTGTTCTCGTGCACTGCAAAAAGACGAAACCTCGCCACTCTCTGACCCAAGGCGCGCTCGTATACGTTACTTTTTTAACTCGTACAATTCAATTTATTTATCCAAATTGAACATGCGTCGAATGTACACCGATCTAATACGTTGATTCTATTATCAGTGTCAACAGTTACAAAATCACATGAGCCCCGAAACGCACAAACAATTGGAATTGCAACGCCTGCAGTCGGAACACATGAAGCGTCTGCAAGATCCAATGTTACAGCACAGCATCCAAGAGATCCAAGCGCAACTGAGCAAGAACCCAATGGCTATGGCGGCCAATCCGCAGTCCTACATGTTTTTACCGTTCCTCGAGCAGATAAGAGGGATGCCGACCATGCTACCGCCTACCTCCACCGCCACGGCTTCCAGTAAACACGCCAACACTATTGCCAATGTTAGTAAACGATCATTTTAATCACATTTTTATATAGTCGCAAAACAAAAATATGATATTTTTCGGCATAAACTTCATTATGTGAATCTCAGTATTTTTAAAAATGGGTCTTTAGATCCTATCTTTTTTTCTTGAAAGCGACGAATTTGTTCACTCGCTCAGAATTTTTATTCCGATCTCGATTGATCGTTCAATCGTTTTAATTTTGCAGATGATCAATTGCCACAGAGAAGGCCCGAGCTGGGCGTCGGCGGCACACTTAGCACAAATGACCAATCAGATGGAGCAGGAGCGCTCGTCGACGCCGCTCGCGAGAGCACCGAGTCCCCCGGTGGCGACGACTCCCACGCCGGTCAGCGCCGACCCGGACGCGCCGCTGAATCTCAGCAAGCGCAAGTCGGACGACGACTCGTCGGCGAACACGGCCTCGCCGCCGAGCAGCAGCGAGCCCTCCACAGAGGCCTCCGCGGCGGCCTCGCATCATCGCGAGCAGCTGCACAAGGAGCACCACCAGGAGCACCACCAACACAAAAGGCATCGCGAGCAGCAGCAGCAGCAGCAGCACGAGCAGCCCCTCGCCGCGACGGCGCCCAAACTCTTCTCGGCGGGCATGCCGCTCTCGAGGAATTACGTGCCGTACGCGGGTCTGCCGCCCCACCTCAACTCGCTGCCCTCGTCGAGTAAGTCTCCGTCCGGATTGGCCGAGCTGGCGGCCCTATACGCACAAAACTACGCTAACACGGCTCTTCCGTGCTCTCTTGCAGTGGCAAAAATGAAGGAGGAGAGCAGCGTCGTCGGGTCCGCTCGAGAGGGTGCGGCGACGGCTGCAGCGGTGGCGGCTGTGGAAAAGCATTTCGCCATGCAGAACATGTATCACGGTCTACCGCCGCCCAACGCGGGCGCGATGCCACCTGCCTCGCAGCAGTCGCGCTCCATGAAGCACTCGGTCGCTGCGCGCGAGGAGCAGCTCGCTGCCGATCAGGAACAAGAATATCTGTCGTCGGCGCATCGTGAGTCATCCTGCCCATTATTTACTTTCTCGATATCTTGCGCATTTTTCCAAGTAAATTTATTTATTTTTTTTTTGTTTCTGTTGAAGTTTGGCGCGATACGCCCTACAAAGTTCCTGAGGACGTGGCGGAGAAAGCAAAGATGGTGCGACAACAAAAACGAGAGGGTGAAGGAAAGCCACACATTAAGAGGCCAATGAACGCTTTCATGGTCTGGGCCAAGGATGAACGGCGAAAAATTCTCAAAGCTTGTCCAGACATGCACAACTCAAACATATCCAAAATACTAGGTAAGAATCTTCGCATTGCTTTTGATAAATTTAAATGTGCATCATTTAATGTGGATCTCTCTGATTATTTACAGGTGCCAGATGGAAAGCGATGTCAAACGCGGAAAAGCAACCCTACTACGAGGAACAATCGCGGTTGTCCAAATTGCACATGGAGAAACATCCAGACTACAGGTATCGGCCCAGGCCCAAGCGAACCTGCATCGTCGACGGCAAAAAGATGCGCATCTCCGAGTACAAGTCGCTCATGCGCCAACGCAGACAAGAAATGCGACAGATGTGGTGTCGCGAGGGTGGGACGGACGTTGGCTTTCTGTCGCCGGTCGGCCAGTCGGAGCCCGCCGCAGGGCCATCGGGTCGTCCGAGCGTGTCCCCGCCGGACGGCATGTTGAACGGTGCCGGCGGCGCGGGCTCGAGCTCCGCCGACCACGCAAACTTCTACTACGCTCAGGAGAGCATGTCGCCGAGCGACGTCATGAACTTCTCACCCGACAACTCGGCCTCGACCTACGACGCGAGTCCACGCCAACACGCCGACGAGGATTGAAGCGGCGCTCCGGGCCCGCCAGCGAACATCTGGCAGCCCGGAGCCCATCCAACGCTGCAGCCGGCACCGGCCGCCGGTCGCTTGCATCACGGCCACGATCTCTTTTGGTAGAGTGCCATCATCTCAGCTGGAGAGTAACCACTCCTCGACTCCGATCGACTGCCAGTTTTTTCGACAATTAAGTAGCTAATTATAATTACGAGTGCATCTGCTGGCCTGCGAAGCTGCTGCTGTTACTGTTGCCCCGTAGCAGAGCTTGACGCCAGTCTAACGCCACCAAAACGCCAGTTTAATGCCAGTTTTACTCGCCCTTTCTTTCACCAAACGGAGAAGTAAGCTGTCCTTTGTGGCTGACTCTTCATGTGTGATATGTAAAAAAGAAAAGAGACAAAGACAAAGAAAGAAAGAAAAAGACTATTAAACGGGCATCCGATATCTTACTTCTGAATGAACGTTATATTTTAGCTTTTAGAACTGCGATGAACTGGCGAGAGATTTGCATAATAAATATTTAATAGTCGACGCTTACGGGTTTATCTTCTCGAGAAACCCGTAGCCGATATGGACTCAAGATGATAAAAACGAGCTATCTCAATCTCAATTACGATGTAATAAACATGGCTACTTTTGCTGAACTAAAAATTCTAATTTTCAGCAAACATTTGTTCTCATCTTTGTAGCTGCTGCAAAATGCATTTATATCCGAAAAATATTCGTATACGCACGACGCGAATAACACTTATCTAATTGTTTTTGTCGCTCGTGCAGCGCAAGAATTTCGACTTTGTAACGTGTCTTGCCACTCATGCGGCGACGCGTTTGATCAAAATTTAATGCTGATCTAATCAAATTACAAATAGTAAAGACTCTCAAATGTTTACTCGTAGAAGGCAACAAATCAAAAACTAGGTACTCATAGATGTAATTCTGAAAAGTGTTCGATACGACAAAAGTCAGAAATTTGCGCTTTAACAAGATAAAATTATTAGTACTAAATGTTTTATAAAGGGTGAATGGATCGTTAAATTAAGTGATAAAAAGAAGTAGAAAATGAACAAAAAGTGGAAAATATAAAATAAAAACGAGCCTACGTAAAAAAGAGTGAAAGATAGTTCCAAACGCAAAATACAACGCAACCGGCTTTGGTACTTAGAAACCAATTTTTACTTCGCACTTGCAAAGCAAGTGTGATTCTTAATCATTTTTAACAACATTTAAAAAAAAAAGAGATTAATTAATGTTTATTTCTCTAATGTAATTTGAATCTTCCTGTTTTGATATTTTAATTGTTTGATAGGCCCAGTGGTAGCTTACCTTTCCTGTCTGTTACGCGTCTTTCTTTTTTACGTGAAATTATAGTCGTAATATTTTTTATATATGTATCTCTTAGTTACTGCGATCGTCGGTAAAAGGTTTTATAGTTGTACATAGTGAAAGAATGACAGAGAAAAATATTGGCAGTAAACTGTCATGCAAAAGAGCGTTAAGTTCGGTGTGTGATAGCCGGTCATGTAAAAAAATATGTGCCAAATAGCTCATTGCGTTAATTATTAAGCAAAGTGTTTCCGAACTTCATTATTTATTTATAAAAAAAATAGTGACGTGATGGGAAACTCTTATACTTATATTTCCAGTCTCAACATAATTAAGTCTCCGGTTAATTTTTAATTCATAATTCAGTGCAATTGTAGAGTTAATAAATCGAAGCAAATGGGTAATTCTAGTATCCTCGACTTGGTTAAATGAAAAAATGATAAAATGAAAAAAAATAAAAAACTGACTCGAGAGAGGAGAAAACACGGTTTGCAGCAATGCATTGCGTACCTATATAGATTATAAATATAACTATATAAATACACGAAACATTAGCTAATTCGACCGCAAGCGGTACTCGTGAAACGATGTATTGCCGGTGATGAAAATTTCATTCGAGAAATTGAGCCATCGTCGTAAATCATAACGTAACCGGGTTAGCTGTAAATGTTGAATACTTTTGATTTTATGTATATAATGAACTTGTGCATACGGAAAATTAGGCTAGCCGTCGTCGCGCTATTGTGACTTGACGCTATTATTTAACTTATTACACTTCACTGAAATAAGGAAGAGATGACGTTAATTGCCAATGCTACGAAAAACTAGAAATTATCTGTTAACTATCACATATATTCACATATATGCAAACAAGCTAATGTCCTTACTCATACACTTGCTCTGATACAGTGAAACATCTATGCACATGTGCACACACTCATACATGTATACATTATATATATAATATACAAAAGAGCGCTTCGATATTACTTTACACAATGTGAAGATTGAAGAAATATTGTTTATTGTACAGTGTAACTATATTCTTTGTGATGTACCTATACGTAGTACCATAAGTAAAATTACTCGAAAAAGAAAACTTGATAGACTTTATATATAAATATGATATATAAACGCGTACATACTACATACATATAATATATTATATATACTTATATGTATGTGGATACATATATACATATATAAATACTACGCATAATACTATAAATAGGTAGATAGATACGATAAGAACCGTTACATTTTGTAAAGCAAAAAAAAATTGAATTGCTTTTATGTAATATGTTTATCGACATCATTTTTGACTCATCGACGATTAATATTTTCATTATTATAATATCACAAGTTATTATTACAATGTTTATTGTCAGTAATGACTACAATTTATCATCATTTTAAATGTTTAGAGCTTTACTTTTACTTTGTCCATAATAAGGTGAATATTGATTGCAATATGTGCATGTGCCAGTCTTGCTGCGTTTGACTTATTTTGTTATTATGCTGCTCGAACTTTTGAAACGGGAATATATAATATTTTATGCTTCGTTTCTTCAGTCGAGAACGTATTGTATATTTAGCAATTAAATTATTGTTCAGTGTAAAAGTGGAAAAAATTTTTATATCTTTGTTGTTTTACTTACTCATTTCAACGATTCCTCGCTGATTCGAAAAAAATGAATTATACATTGTTGCACATTATAAAAAAATGATGTTGAAATTTAGTAGTTTCAAACCATTCAAGTGTATTGTATGCTTGAATGATTTGAATTATTAAACATCGATGTCAATAGTTTTGACAGTGATTTTATTTTATTCAATTTAAAACAAATGTCAAGACAATTTTTAATGAATAGTTTCAATAAACATTTTAAATCAAAATGACGAGTGCGTGAAATACTTTTTGTAACATAGAGTTTAAAAACGAATTTCAAATTCTGTACTTTTGACACAGAAAGCGAAAGATAATTTGACAAAATTTTAGAACGTTTCATTTTCTCTAATGTGTGAATGTTTTGCACAAATGTAGGTGCAACAACAGTATTATAACTTATTTGCATTGCACATGATTTTTAATCCACTAGTAAACTTGTTTGCATGATGCAAAAAATTTGCTGTATTTACACGCTCGTTGCATGAATGTCTATTGAAATTTGTTTTACGAATTAGAACATTCGGCCAGATTCTTTGTCGCCAGTCGTAATCTCCAAAGATCAATCCTGATGCGAGGGTATTATTACGGTATTGTTGTTAAGAATGATAATTGATTTCTCATCATATTTATGATACGACACACCTAAACGTATGTAAAAGCGTCGTTTTTGTATAATAATTAATTCCTAAATTGTAAGTGTTTCATAGGTAACTTCTATATTTTTGTTTATCTAATGTATTTTGGTTATTGTATGAAATATAAATTAATTATTCCAGATGAACTTTTATTTTTATTCATTTGTCTCACCATGATTTAACAATTATGGTGCTAAAAATAAAACTAACATCAATTTTTCCAAATTTCAATGAAATGACGATTGTTCAATGTATTTTCTGATTGACACTTTAATATCCTTTAACGTTTGTTCGATTTGCGCTTGTTACTTTGTTTATGGTGCCAAGTAGAAGTACCACGATCTTCTGAATATTTACTCAATATCAAAATGCTGAAAGATATTCGTCAGTCTGTACTTGACTTTTATTGTAATTTTAACGGAAAAGGGTTTAGAGGAAAAAAATCATACTTGTCATATAAGTAATAATTGTCATGGCTAGTGAAGACTCGTGAACCCGAATAATATCAATCATATTAACTTTATTAACTTTTCACTCTGAACTTTGTACGTAATCTTGATGATGAACAAATTGTAAATCCAGTATGCTCTAAAGATAATTAATGCAATTTTTAGGCCTTTGGTGCACCATTTGCATATGATGAAAGAAATTGAAATAAAAAAAATATATATGTATATATATATATACACATTAAATTAACACTGAACTAACACACGCAGATTTCTCTCTGATATGTACATATGTGTGCGTAAATAGACATATATGTATGAAGCATTTCGCTATTTCATTCAATACATGTGCTTTGTTGTGAATAAAAATATAATAATAACATATAAAGACTCGATAACAAAAAGCTGTGTAGTAACTTTATCAACAAAATCAACCATATTTCATACCGTAGCAAATAATATGTGATGTTTCACTTTTGCTAGGTGCATTAAAATAAATATAATGAGTGAATGCGATGCCATTGTATATACTGTAGAATGCAAATTGAATGTATGAGAGTGAAGTAGGTATGAATGCTGAACGAAGCGAGCGAATGAAGCGTTAAAATGAACTATATGCATCAATTTTTAAGCGATGCTGCTGAACATTGACATGGGCACCTTGACACTCATCCTATTTTTATTGCTACTAACATAGGTATGAAGCACCAATTAAATCAAAAATACTATTCAAGGCATGTAGTACTAGTTTACTGGAGACTATTACGGAGTGTTGAGTCGAATAAAAATAATAGTGAGTTTTAAAACCGTAACGAACCATTTAAGTGGCAATATCAGGGTGATGCCATTCAGAATTTTTTTTACTCATATACCTATATCAAGTTGTGATGATAAAAATAATTTCACTAAGTTTTACAGTAACATTTCTGATGATGGACAATTTGTTACAATTAACAAGATCATAACTGTTATAAAAAAAATCTTGCAACTTTACCGTAATGTTAAATATGATTTATAAGTTTTGAATCATTTTACTAAAAGTGAATGATACAGTCGCTTTTCAGACATCAAATTATGAAGAATTAATTCAAAATTCTCGAGGTGAAGATCTTCAGGAAGAAAGATTTCTCGTGCGAAGCATTTAAAGGCAAATAATCCAAGGTATAAATTTTACATTGGATTAGCAAAAATTAAAATATAATATACCGAATGAAACTATTATATATTATATATTATAGATGTATAATTAAATTTACTTAATTATTTTAAATTTAGGTAATATTTGTTGTTTGTACTTTACAAACATAATCATTATTACATAAAAATAAATATTGATATAAATAAAATGCGTTTCGATTTTTTAACTTATAAAAACATTTTATATACACTTAATATGTTTATATACATGGAAATTTCAAAAAATTCTAAATTTTGAATAACATATCATTTAACTAGTTTTGATTTGTGATATCGGATGTACATTTGTAAGACAAATAATGTATCATCCACTTGGCACTCACTGGTACTCAATTTTTCTACTCTCATTGATAATTGGTTCAAATGAGCTTTTTCAGATGGAGTAATTTGATCTTCAACCTGTAAAAGTTACTTAATAGAAAAAATGGATTTCTTAATTGTATCAACTTTTATAAGCACTTACATTTGCTATTTGCTCTGGAGTAGCTCCAAGTTCTCTGAAATTCTTAACTAAAGTTGTAATTTTCCATTCTTTGTCTATCAACCTCTTGTTTTTAGATAGGTCATCATTTCTGCGATAAATAGCACTATAAATTGCATGATAACAATGTTCTATTGTCATGCGTACAACTTCATCCAAATCTATGTGAAACAGATAAAATGTTTTTGGAGCATTTGTTCCTGATTTCTTAAAATCTCGATAATGCAAATAATTTTCTTCTGTTAATTTATAAGTTATGTGTTTGGTTTCTTTAGGAGGAAACATAACTTTTTGTTGAATTTTTTCCATTTCAATATAATTGCAGCTTCGAACTAACCTGTGGTGATTTGAAATAAATTTAAATTAATATGAGTTTTGAAGTAAAAAATAATGAATGTGTGTACCTAAAAATTCTAGCTGCTTTTGAGCCAAATCGTTCCATAACTACATTTTCAATAGTTGCCCACGCTAACTGATGGAAAGCCTCTTTCATATTAACAGTGTATTGGCCACCTCCAGAATCTCCAACTCGCATAATAAACTTACACGAATCTTCCTCTGTAAATAAAAAATTATAATAATAACTGCAGACTATGATAAAAGAAATAATTTACCAATTAATAAATAATTATGAATCATAAGTACCTAATACTTTTATATATTGATCTAACCGAGGCATAATAGATGGGAAATTTTTTTTCATATCCTCTTTTATTTCATTAAATGCTATAGGGATGGAGGTATCTTCCCATGCTGCAGTCCTTGTATCCATTAAGATTAACAGTCGCTTCATAAGCTCACCAGCATTATCATCAAATCTTTTAGTAATAGTATTTACTAGTATTTCATTTCTAAAAATTAAGAAAAATAACAATTATGTAAAGTTGAATTTAAATTTGATTCAATGAAATATTTGTTTTATTTTACCTCAAGTCTTGTGTGAATCTGTCAAAATTTATTTTCCAAAATATATTCTGGTCACCAGTATCAACATTAGTATTTTTAGAAAGTTGTATAAGGTCTTTTACATGGAGAGATGGCATGATAAAATTATATGCATCTGTATTAGCATCATTATTAACAGAGTGGCGTATTATGAACTGATTTTTCACCAATAATTCAAATTTTTCTAATAGCAGTGGAATAGATGCCCTTCTTTCAGCTAAAATAAACATGATCTTTTATTAATTCCAATAAACATACTTTTTCATAAAACATATCTTGTCACTTACGAGGATTTTGTTCAAGTCTTGTGTAAGTTTTTACAATGATTTGTGAAGCAGTATCGTAACCATTTTTTAAAACTACATCAAACAACATTTCTGCTTCATCGTACATATTTTTTTTCACAAAAGTTGTATACCTAAGAATTCAAAGTGTTCAAAAAAGTTTATTTAAAATAGTTCAAGAAGATTATATAATCAATCAATATAATGTTTACCTATGGTGACGAAGGAGTAAAAATATTTTCTCAATATCTATTGAATATAGCACTTCACGAGGAAGTTTTTCATGTGCAACAATATCAAACTTTATTAAAGCGTATAATGCTTCAACAATCTAAAAATCAATAAAGTGTTTATAACAAACTAGCTTTTAAAGGAAGATGCATGAATTACTCACTTTATTGGCAGGAAGTTTTGTAAAGTTTGCAAATTGTGTCATGGTTTTAGGTCCATACTTGAATAATATACACCCAACCTCACAAGTGGCAGCACCAAAATGCTCCATCAATAAAGATCTACAAAGTTTTTCCATCAGGGCTGACATGATTTATGTTTATTTGATTTTTTTAATTGAAAAAAAAAAACTAAGACGACTCGATGAGAGCGTTAAATAGAAACAACTACAGAGTCTACATGTGCTCGATTTAAATGACGAAATCGATGTAGCCGGTTGTGCTGTCAGTGAAACAGCGGCTAGACTCTATAGAGTGTAGAGTTTCTACTCTCTATATATATTCCAGCACAATATTGTAAGGTGCTGCTTCTCGCGTTGGTTTGTAGAACTGCTAAAACTGCACCTATCCGATTACCCAGTAAGCCACGGGATTCTGGAAGAATATTAAATTAAATGTTCATAAAAAGTTTATTGAATAATTAATCAAAAACATGAAATATAATTGCGTCTATCTGGTAGATTTGTTTAAAAAATTCAAATAAAAATTTTTATCTAGATACATTACTAGCAGTTGATAACAGAAGTTACAATCATTTTTGTGTATAGTTCCTGTATCTACTACAAAGTAAATTTGTATATATCTTGAATAATTCAATTAAAAAATTCGATATCAAAGTACTAGACACACTTTACTTCCGGGTTTCATGCCGTTAGGCAAGGTGTGAGACTTGTTCAAATTTTGTAAATGATCATTCTCTATCCTTTCGACGAACCAAAATCTCGCGCTAATTTTAAGGTGTCTAAGGCAATCCTGATTTCCGGCTGACATGGAACCTCATCTGGTGACTGCAGCTGAAGTTAAACTTTGATCACGTGACCTCATATCAACTTCTTTACTGAGAGTGCAAATTGCAAGTGCCCACGAGGTTTTGTGAGCGGCGACAATCATCATAACCGGCCGCTGGAGTGATTATTTCAAAATAGTGCAAAGATGCCATCCAGCAATCCCCTGCCACCTAAGGAAAATGCTCTTTTCAAGAGAATCCTGGTACGTTCACCCTATTCCAAAGCTTTTCGCATTGAAAACTGTAATAGCCTCCACTATTTCTCTCTATCTCGCTCTATCTCTCCTTGTCTCGCACACGCCGCCTATGCTATGCTATTAGAAGCCTGTAGGTCGTCCCCGGCACTTCCAATAATACATATAATGTTTATTTTTCAATATGATCCTTCAAATCCCAAATGTCTTAAACTATGATGGACATGATACAGATAACTTAGATACTTCTATGAATTGAAAAAAAATTTTCTAGCGTGTAACATTTACGCAGTTTTTATAACCCTTAAATCAAACAGAATGTAAACATTGTTAAAGAATCCAAATCTCAAATTTTTACAATGTCCAAAAGTTTTTAACTATAATGCATAACTACTAATTTATTTTACAGAAATGTTATGAGCACAAACAGTACAAAAATGGACTCAAATTTGCCAAGCAAATCCTGTCAAACCCAAAGTACTGTGAACATGGGGAGACTTTAGCGATGAAAGGTCTCACTCTCAATTGCTTAGGACGCAAAGAAGAGGCTTATGAACATGTTCGCAGAGGACTTAGAAATGACTTGCAATCCCATGTATGCTGGCATGTCTATGGGCTTTTGCAAAGATCTGATAAAAAGTATGATGAAGCTATCAAATGTTACCGCAATGCTCTCAAATGGGATAAAGATAACATTCAGATTCTTAGAGATCTGTCATTACTACAAATCCAAATGCGAGATCTTGAAGGCTACAAGGTTGTCTCCATTTTCATTCATTATTACAAATCTTGAAATTTAATTTATTTTTAAAATGTATTTAATTGAGGTTAATTTTCTGTTAGGATACTCGTTATCATTTGTTCATGTTGCGACCAACCCAAAGAGCATCTTGGATAGGATTTGCAATTTCGTATCATCTTTTGAAAGATCATGAAATGGCTTTGAAAATATTGGATACATTCAGAGATTCTCCAATGGTAAATGAACTATATTACATAAGGCTACTAGTTATTTTGATCTTTAATAATGTTTATTTAATTACATTTCTAAACAACTATATGATTATTACAGGTATTCTACGATTATGAACATAGTGAACTTTTGCTTTATCAAAATATGCTTATTCAAGAATCTGGAGATAGTGAACAAGCCTTAAAACACCTTGACGAAAATATTGATAAAATATGTGACAAGATCACCGTCAAAGAAACATACGGTAATTATTTATAATTCAATATTAAATTATTTGTAAGCAATTTATTAATTTACTCAAATAAATCTTTCCACATTAATAAATAGTTTAAATTTAAATAGTAATCAAAGATATAATGAATTATCATTAATACTATTAGTGTAATCAAAATGGATCTAAAATTTATTCAAAGTTATTATTACTTGGAAGAATTCAATTTTTTTCAATTTAGCAAGGTTTTACATTAAGGGATTAAATTAGATTCTGTTAATAAAAAAAAAAAAACAAATTTATATATTAATTAGTTATAAAATCTTTTACTTTTAAATGGTTTTTATTACAATTCATTAAAATTTGTTTTTTTTTTTTTCAGGTAAATTAAGACTTGAATTAGCTCAATATGCTGAAGCCAGCAAGGTTTATGAACAATTACTTCACATAAATCCTGAGAACAAGATGTATTACATGAAATTAGCTGAAGCAGAAATGCATACAACACCAGAAGATACATTGGCAATGTTAGAGCATTATGAACATGAATATCCTAGAGCTTTAGCTCCAAAAAGATTGCAATTAAACTATGCTACTGGAGACAAATTCAAGCAATTGGTTGATCGTTATTTACGCAAAGGTATTTTCATAATCCTTCCTTAAAATTAAATTTAAGTTAATGATGAATTCAGTTAATGAAATAAATATGTTTTTATTGTAGGACTTCATAAAGGAGTACCACCCTTATTTGTTGATCTTCGTTCTTTGTACAAGGATCAAGAAAAAGTCAATATTATAGAATCATTAGTGTTAGGGTACAAAGACGCATTAAAAGCCCATGACCACTTTAGCGATGAAGACAAAGATAAGCCCAGAGAGCCTGCGTCAGCTCTATTGTGGACTTACTATTTCCTTGCTCAACACTATGATTATTTAGGGCTTACACAAAAAGCTCTTGACGAAATAGATGTAGCTATATATCACACTCCAACATTAATAGAATTATTCGTCACTAAAGGACGCATTTATAAGGTAACCATTCTTCTACTAATTATAATTCATAATATGATTAAATGTAACTATTGAAATTTGATCTTGGTACTGTATCATATAATAATATTTTTTGATGACGCTTTTATAGCAAATTAAAAAGCTTTCATATTAACTATATCCAATTGCAATTCATGACTAGTGACAATTTTATTTCATTTTACTTATTATTAGTTGATACAGCATTTTTGCCGGTCATAAATATTATAACGAATATTTAAAAATTCGCTTTATTAATTATTAAGCAACTTTACAAATCAGTCGCCTTTTCATGTGTATTGTAAAAAGTATAATTTTTTATTACTTAGACTACTTATTACATAAAAAAAGAATCATAACGGGTTGCCAATAATAAATGTTTTATTTTAGCATGGTGGCGATGTGCAAGAAGCATATAAATGGTTAGATGAAGCCCAGGGATTGGACACTGCTGATCGTTATATTAATTCAAAGTGTGCCAAATACATGCTCAGAGCCAACTTGATCAAGGAAGCAGAGGAAACTTGTAGCAAATTTACAAGGGAGGGAGTACAAGCAATGGAAAATTTGAACGAAATGCAATGCATGTGGATTCAAACAGAAGCTGCTTATGCTTATAAACGCTTGGGAAAATATGGCGAAGCATTGAAAAAATGCCATGAAGTTGATAGGGTAAGTTAAATTTTGTATATTACTTTTGACAATAATTTCAATAACAAACTTGATCGATTATTATTCAGGTAATATATTTAATTAATGCTCTACATTATAATTAATATCAAATTCATTCCAGCATTTTTCGGAAATCATCGAGGATCAATTTGACTTCCATACTTACTGTATGCGCAAAATGACTTTGCGTTCTTACGTTGGTCTTCTAAGGCTAGAAGACGTTCTACGGTCACATCCGTTTTACTTCAAAGCCGCGAAGTGTGCAATAGAAGTTTATATAAGACTACATGATCATCCATTACCAGATCCCACACAAACTCAAGAAATTGACACTGGTGAGTTATTAACACTTTGTTTATTACTTAATTTATATTGATATTGATAACCAACTTGGTACCACGCTATAATTGGAATATTCAAACACAAACTCAGCATTCTGATTTACATATTTTGAATTTCAAAGTTAAACATAAAAAAATCTTATACATTTGTGTTCACAACATCCTTCAGAAAATCGCAATTTTAATCTTATATATATCATCGATCAATGTGTGATTCATGTAGAACGCTATTAAACTTGATTTTGATTAAGTGTTCATACTGTCTCTCGATCGATCTCGTAATAACATTGTATTTAGCATTAACTAGTAAATAACACTTTACGAAGCACTTTAACCAAATCGACTCCTAAAAAGTTTGGAAACCTAAATGTGATTAATTATCGATACTTTATTATATACACTTCAATCAATAATCACAGACAATAGGCGCAAATAACAGGAAATATTTTTTCGTAAAAATAATTAAATATAATGTTTAAAACTAGGTAGTAATTATATTTTAGTCAATTGACGTGTTTTACATCTTATGTACAAAGAAATGAATCAGATCACCGCATTGTTACTAATATGCACGCAGTGAAAACATAGGTACGCACGCTCGCATCAAAAGCTCTTTCTAAGCTTTAATATATTTTTTTTTTAATATATATGGCATCCGAGTTTTGCCTCGAATAGCTATCTGCATTATTTTGCATACACCGTACACTCGAGCAATTTGAACGTCTTTGGTACTTATCGCCGATAATGGGACGCAATTTCGATCGAACACAGGGGTATGGACATTTGCGAATTTTCAGGCAGATGCAGCTCTTTCTCAACGAGAAAATAATCGAAAAAATTATCGCTCAAACGATTAGTCAGCCCGAAGTATTTGGCGCAAACAAATAAGAGTAGTTTTATTCGTAGTACATGGAGGCAAGTTGTATATAAGGTGCGCGACGCAATCGGCATCGTCGGCAACAGCTTACGTGGAGTCGGGTCGTCGTCGACGCCGCAGCAGTCTACCTGGTCGCGCGAAAAAGTGATAAGGATCCTCCCTAGAGCTCGGTCCGATGGCCTGTGGCGTGAGGAAATAGAAATGGCCACCGTCTCCGGGTAATCGGTAGGCGAAGTAAGAGTTGGGTCGCTCGACGTGATTCTCGACGTGATCGGGCGCAGTTCGCGCTTGACCGTAGTCCAAGTGATGCTGTTGACGTAGTTGCTGTTGTTGCTGCTGCAGCTGCTGTTGCTGTTGCTGTTGCGACTGCTGCTGACGCGGTCGCGGTCGGAAACTCCCGGAATCGGGATCGGCGCCGAGCAGCGGAACGAACTCGGCCTGAGGCTCGAGGGACGGCAGCGGCTGCTTGAAGTTGACGAGTATGTCGTCGACGAGCGACGGCCCGGGCGTGTGATCGCCGTAATGAACCTTGACGTTGGCGGCTCGATGTCCATTGGCCGGGGCCGGAGTCGCGTAAGTCGGTCGCTCGGTGACGCTGGATTTGCCGTAGATGGGCGTCGTGCTCGCCGGCAGCTTCTTGCCGAACACCGTAAAGTACTCCTTGGTGACGTCGTCGAGCAGCAGCTCGTCCTGCTTGGTGAAGTACTGCTGATGAGCCGCCAGCGTCGTGTCCCGAAGCGGAGGCGCCACCGTGCTCGATCCCAGCAGCGAGTTGGGCCTGATGCTGCGAAGCGCGTTGTAGCTCGGTCCGTAATTGGCCGCCGACACGGACTGTCTGAGGGGCGTCTGCGCCGCTATCGTCTCGCCGAAGTGCTTGGCGGCGAACAGAGTCGGCGAGGGCAGCTCCTTCGGCCGTCGAGGCACCTGGCGCGGCTCGAGCTGCTGCTGAGGGGGCGGCTCCGGTCCCAGTCGCAAGCTCGACGGTCGCGCGTAGTTGCTCGCCTCGAAGCTGTACTGGTAGATGGGCTTGGACTTGCTGCTGCTGCCCGTGCTGGCCTTGTAGTAGTGAATCTTGCTCTTGGGCGTCGTGGCGAAGTAGGTGAGCTTCGGTTGAGAGCGCGTCGGCACCGGTCGATAGTAGATCGGCTCGCTCGGCAAGAGTCGCGGCCTCGACTGCGATTGCACCGAGCTCTGGTACGAGGCCAGCGGACTCGGAGTAGTCGTCGTCGTCGTGCTCGTCGTCGTTACCGTCGGGCTAGGTGTGGCGGCCTTCAGCGTCGACTTGGCAGGAGCCGCTTGGGTTACGAGTTCGACGTCGTAGTACTCGCGTTTGTCGTCGGTCTCGAGCTTGTAGTAAGCCGGCGGCTCGGCACTGACTCCGCCGAAGTAGAGCAGCGGCGCCGGTGTGCTCGACAGGGCATCGCCGGCCTCCTCGTAAAAGTAGTAAGACGCTTGACTCGGATAAGTCTGCGGGGGTTGCTCGGTCGTCAAGACGCTCTGCAGCGGGGTCGGCGTCGACTCGACCGCCTGCTCCACCGAGTTGGGCGTCGTCGAGGCGAAGAAGCTCACCAGCGGCACGGGGGCACTGCTCACGCGCCACGGCGCCTTTTCCGTGCTCGTTTTGAACCAATTGGATTTCTCCTTGTTGCGCGTTCTCCACGATGGCCTCTTCTCCGTGCTACTGGCCTGATGCCACGTCGCCGGTGGCTTGGCTGTGCTCGGCTCGAACCAGCTCGGTTGCTTCGAGCTACCGTACCAGGTGTTCTTCGACGGGCTGGCCTCGCTGCGCCACCTCGGCTTCTCCGTGCTCGTCTCGAACCAAGTCGTCTTCTCGGAGCTGGTGTAGAGCCAAGGGGCTTTTTCGCTGCTACTTTCGAAAACTTGATTACTGCTCAGCGGATCGGGGCTGCTGGATTCGATCGACGGCGGAGTACTTGTCGTGACTTCGATGTAGCTAGCTTTTGGCGTGTACGTCGTGCTCTTGAATTTCGAACGTCCGTACGTTTTAGAGGCGTACGTGGCACCCGCCGGTGTTTTGTAAGTCTTGCTAGGCTTACGCGAGGACGGGCTTGGCTGTGCACCGCTGGAGCCTAATTGATTCGACTGGCTAGCCACACTGGGAAGAAAAACAGAGATCGTATCGTCTCGCAGCTTCTTCGCCTTCGCAAGTTTTTCTTTTTCCGCGGACTCGTCATCTTCCAGGACGGAGAAAAAGTCAGGCGGAGGCGGTAAAATAATACCAGGAACCAAAGGCCCCGGTGGTATGTCCGTAGAATTATCCTGATGATAAACGAAGCTGTAAGGCGGTGGATAGTAAATCGACTGGTCCTCGTCATCGTAGTCGCTCTGATTGGCCGGTGGCGGTGGAACTACGACGGCGCCCGGAGGTAGGGCCGGGTAAAATTCGGCCTTTGGCCGTTTGGCTTGAGCCTGCTGGTCCAGAGGCGGCGACTCGCTGCTGTTCAGCTGCGGAAAGTATGGCCCCTCGCCGGGCAGGAATCCACGAAAACTGTCGGGCAGCAGCTCGATGGAGATGCTCGCGTTGTTGTCGATGATGCTGCTGCCGTTGGCCGCAAACAACTGCACCGGACCGCCGTCGGTCAGCTGCACCGGGAAAGGCGGCGGGACGCGCGGATGCGCCGGAATCTTGACTTGGCGCCGCGGTGCCTCGTAGTCGTCGATCGGTGGCCAGCTGGGCACTCCGTCTACGGGCTCCTCGCCGTCGTCCGCGTGGTCCTCGGGCAGACCGCCACCTTTGAGCACGAGCACGTGATTCTCGGCCAGCCAGATCTCATCCTTGTCGAGGCCGCCGAGATTTTCCGCGGTGTCGCGAGGCACCTCGGGATTCGACGCGTAGCTGATGATTCCCGGCCGCTTCGGGGGCTCGGAGAAGATCTCGTTCTGTATGAGGCCGTATTTGCCCTCCTTCACCTGCTGCGACAGGGTCTTTTTGTCCTCGTCGTCGGTGCTGCTGGTGCTGCTGGTGACGCTGGTAGAAACCTGACCGGGACCGAGCTCGCTCGCCGAGGACAGCAACAAACCGTCGTCGTCGAGGCTTGTGTCGTTTTGACTGGGCGGTAATTCGCTAGTAGTAGTAGTAGTAGTAGTAGTAGTCGAAACTTCGGATCGCAAATGCCCACCCGACAATACGTGGGATGTCTTTTTGTTGGGTTCGGCAGCTGCCACCGACACTTCGTTGTGCTTACTGTTAAGCTTTCTTGAGAGTCGTAACCTTTGTTGTTGTTGGTGCTGTTGTTGCTGCTGCTGCTGCTGTTGACTAGGTGTACGACTTTCGCTGTACAGGGCCCGGCTCTCGCTCCTGTCGAGAGCCAGTAGTGACACGCAGTGCACCAGCACCAAGAGCGCCATCATTCCGACTTTTGCCGTTCGTCTTTCCATCTGAAAATAAATATGTCGCTTAGTCAGATACGAGTAGGATAAATATCGAAATAGTATCTTTTCATAAATGAAAGTACGAAATCCGAAGATCATATTATTCTTGCAGGCCTACTATAAGTGTAATTTGTGCCGCATGGCAAGGAAAGGCCACAGAAAAGATTTGAAAAATCCGTCGACCGCAAAATACTTTTGCAAAGGCTTTCAGGATTGCTTCATCGTTACGTTTTGCCTAGATAATATATAACGATTTGCTGTCTCAAATTTATATAAATTAACGTACGTGCGCAGCGCGGTTTTCTCGCAGCAGCGTGTGCTGGGCGTTTGCCTCTTTCTCTCCCTCTACACATGCATTGCCTTGCGTCTTGAACCGAACGAACCATAAATTCATTATTTTCCGAATAGCGCTTTTGTGGTTTTGAAGTTGGCCGCTCGTAAAAAGAAAATAACGTGTGAGACACCGGCCGGGCGGAGAGCTGTAGCTACGCGCGGCGCAAAAGCCGAGGTCGTTATCGGCGCGTAAAAACGGAATTGCCCGGGGACTCTCCGCGTATTATATGCAACAAGTATATTGTGAACTTTTTTAATGCCACGTGTGTATGCAATATACTTAGCTGGGAAATTTACCTCTGCGTGTGTCTGGCTTTTAGTTTTGGGAAAAAACGACGCAGCTTCTGGAAACACAGTGGAGCTATAGCGTCAAGCCTACTCGTCGGCTAATAAATCTTCGAGTAGTTTATGCATGCGCCTGTTTAGAGATCTCGGCGAAGGAAGCAGCGAGAATAATGGCTCTGTGCGAGTCTAGAATATAACGCGCGCTTGGCGCTGTATATACTCGTATACAGCCGGAGATGCGGAAACGTAGGTCGGATACACGCCTATGTATAATATACATTGTATATATATAGGTGTGCGAGTTGCAGTCTGATCCGGCTAGCTAGCCGACTTGTGCTCTTTGGAAATCGTCTCGTAGCAGGATTGTGCTTGACAATCCGATTTGCAGCATATCGCCGCGCGTGGGTCGGGGCGAAAATGTGCAAATTCGATATTCGCAACGCGCGTTCATTTTCTGAAAATAGTCGAATTTGTCAAGTTATTTTTCCGGGGATTACGATAAGAGGGATAAGGTCTGCATGCACTCGGACAGAAAAAAAAGCGAGAAGAAAAGCTGCTTGTAAAGATAGCTGGGTAGCGATAAATAATTTTAACCAGTTCGAATCAACCCACGGTCAAGCTTGCATCGATTCTTTTTTCGAATAGTGATTTTCATGCATACGATTAGCAGGAACTCGTGTGTCAAGATACAACTCCAAACGTTTTCTATGCAGAAGCAGTATTTAGCTTCCTCCCAGAGGAAGCTTTGTGATTTGTCTATGCTATAATAAATATAGTAAGCTGAAATAGATACTCGCAGTGATTTAATACCGTTGCGCGATACGTACACGTCACGAACGAGCCTTGCATCTGCTCGATGGAAGCGCTCGTATTCATTAAGTCTTTTTTATCATAAAGTTATTAGTCGCAAAGACTCGATGCATTCTCAGAGTCCATTTTATGCAGTATTATCGTTCACGCGCTTTTAGTCGTATTTTTTCATCTCCACTCTATTTCTCGGCTTCCTGGCTTATATGTACCGTGGCCCTTGTTGAGACGACAAACGTTCGCGGGTCAGCAAGTTAACGATCGAGTCGAGTTCGACCTCGAGGCAGCGGCAGCAACTCACTTCGAAATAAGAAAGACGACGAGAGGACGTGTCCGTGCCAGCAGCGGTAACAGCGTCTAAGTGAACGCCTATATAGAGGGCTCGAGCGAGCCGGAAGTTAGGACGGAGCTTTCGCTCTGCAGGCAGCAGGGACAAATATCCTCGCTGTACTGTGATATGAATTCATTTGGATGCTGGCCATGTAGTACGTGCCTGAGCTGCTGCTGCTGCCTCGTCGAGTAGCCGAGCGTGACGACTCTCCCGTTGAGCGGCCTTTGTCCTCGTATACGTAGCTATATGTATGTGTATACCGGCGGCAGTAGCCGCGCACCGGAGTCACGTTTTACGGTGAGCCAGATCACCGATTTCGACGATATATTTAATGGCATATTTTATAATTGTCGCAAGCCTCGGCCGATTGAAAACATAGAAGGACCCACGCTCTCTGGGGCGTAGTGTTTCGTGTGCGCCGCGCGCGCAATACCAATCTCATTATTATATAATACGCTCGACGCTATATTGTAGGAAAAGCAACCACAATATTATATACACTTATGTATATATAAAAGAGAGAATTATACATTATGTGCCATTGTGTATATCCAGCAGCGGGCGGCCATGTGGAGCAGTAAAAGCTTCGTTAACATACGAATATCCAAGTAACTTGGCTTGGCGTTCACAGAAAGTATACTGCATACATACACATACGCATACTGACTTAAAGCAGGTTACATGGACTGGATAAATTTTGCAATCGCTTCATCCATGGCAATCAAACTAATTATTTATTAGAGCTGGTTTTGTCGGGCGGACCGCTGCTGCTGCCGCCAAGCCGAATGGCTGCTGTCGCTTTTTGACATTATATGAGCGAGCAGTTGTTTGACCGTTTCGACGCGCGTACTACGCTCTGCCCCCCCAACAGCGATTCTGATCTAACTGAAAATCACTTTGATTGCATCTAATAATGCACTCGAGCGAGATTTTCCAGTCATTTTCCGTTATTGCTATTTGCCCAGCACCAATTTCTGCGCCATACAATAAAGCTATAAAAAATTTGCCGTGCATTATTCAACAGGCAGCTGTCGCTAAATTACTCCGGGTAATATTTTCCTTAGAATAAAAAACGCTCTACCCTTGTCTTATCTTGCTGAGGAAAGCAATGGAAAATTAATTCTTTTAGTTCGAGTCAAGTACACGCAGTAATTAATTTTCCCTCTTACTTTTTATCTATTATGTTAAATTTAAAACATTTCCAAAATATATTCATTAATTGAAGTGAACACTCTGAAAAATTTTTAATCTAACATGAAATTAAATAATTTTAAAAAAGTTTGTAATTTAATGTCAAATGAAAATAAGTTTCGACCTGTATCAATTTATATTTCATGTTGATTTATTTAATTTTTTTATCTGAAAAATTTGACCTGGTTCGAGATAGCCAAACAAAAAAAAAAACAAATAAGTTAATAGCTATACGAGACAAAATTGCATGTTTCGTTAACTAAGTGCTTTCTGATTGAATATTTTGCCGGAAGTCAGAAAAAAAATTACCGATAAAATCAATAAAATATACAAAACTTTGCGTTCGAGTGATTTTTGCCAAGCGCAAAGCGAATACAATTCTGAATCGTAGTAGAAAATCCCTTTAAATTTTCTCAAACAATGCGTGTACAGAAAAATCTATATAAATGTTTCTTCCGCGCGAGATGCAATTGTATATAAAGACGTTGTAATGCAACGCGGTCAGGTAACAAAAATTTCACATAGGCGTACACGCTAGGTTTACAATGTACGCACCCGGTCATTCCTATAGACGTACATGCACGCGTGCGTTCTCTCTCCCGTGGCACGCGAGAATTTCGCACAGTAATATTTGATTTCAGGCAGCTCGAGCTGTGCACGCGGCCGCGGGTAGTAGAGGAAATTTTTGCCGCGATAAAGATCGCGCGCTTTGCAAGATTCGGTTTCCAGTAAGCGCGCAAAGAAGGTTACACAAAGCCGTGCGCGCAAGTGCACACACATGTATTCCGTATGCACACGCGCACCTTATTATATACGTATGTGTGTGTGCGTATTATATACTAAAGTATATAAAATATTATGATAATACTTCATTTACGAGGGCTTGGGCAACGCGCGACGTGGCGCGAGGATCTAATAAGCGAAATTAACCACTAAAGGTGTAATATCGAAAGTGCACAGTAGCGCACGCACGCAGGTAGGTTTCTGCTGCATTTTTCGCTTTCGTAATTGAGCAAAATCTCACGTTGTAGACGCGTAGTAAGCCTCCTATATCGTTCCTAAGGTGTCTCTCGCCTTGGTGATCCATCGTGCCGATGATAAGAGCGGCATAATAATGTCTCGAAAGCTCGAATATTTCACGCTTCGAAGATATTAACGACTTCGACGTTTCGCGCCTTGTTTTTGCCTCGGCCTCGCACGAGTCTTCCCTGTTTTTTGCATATAAATATAATCTATGTATTTGCGGGATACAGGTGAAACACATCGCACGGTGCGCATCGATCACGCCTCGCTGATTTCTTCGTTCGATCCAAGCTCGGTGCTTTTTCGTTCATTTCATAAAGTGATCAATGAGTTGGCTCAGCGACGAGCACAATTTCTGTATGCCTTGCGCATCGATTTTTCTTCGTTTTCCGGCTGATCGAGTGTAACGAGCCGACCTCGTTTCCACTTGGCCGATGCATTCCCCGCGCCCGACTGGTTGATCAAATTTTGTCTCTGCCCTGCGCCGCGAGCCTTGCGAATTACTGCTGCTAAACGTACAGTTCACGGAATATGCGGAATATTTGAAAAACGCCAGGAGCAGCTCGTCCTCGCTGAAGTTATCGGGCGGAACTATACGTCGCACTTCGGTATACACACCAGATGTCGTAGCTCGGCTCGCGGCGTTGCCACTAAAACTATACCGCCGCATTTCCGTTGCAGCTATGCGCGGCTGGGGCTCTCGCATCCACGACGTCGACGTTTTCAGCTCAACACCGTCATATTTTTCGAATGACTTTTCCTCGACTCTCTTCCTACTCCCTTCGATTTTTTTACGCGCCAACAGTTCACGCGGCTGTAACACTGCTGGTGCATGCAAATCACGCCCTCCACGTCGTCTGAATTACCTCTGCTTTCTTCACGACTCGCAGTCGAATCTGTCGAGTACGTGCCGTAAGAATACCCTATCGAAATTGTCACCCTCTTGAGAACGACGAGTATTCGTTTTACTATTCCTGGAAACGCAGTGCTTTTCTAATTTCGCTCTGCTTTTAGTTTCTTCTGGCAAGATTCATGA